TCTCCATGAGCCCTGACTCCACTAGTAGTGTTCGAGTAAAGAGCCTTTACAAGGTTTATGTACTTCTGGGGTTTGCCTTTCAATGACAGACACTGCCACAGAATCTCGTGGTCCACGGAGTCAAATGCTGCTTTTAAGTAAAGAAAGACCACCATTGTTGGACGTCGATAAGTATGCCTATGTCCTAGAACCTGACGAATGGTGAATATGTGGTCGATGCAGCCACGACCAGGTCTGAAGCCAGCTAGGTTTTCTCGTATTTGCAGTTCACGAGTCTTAGTTAGGCATCTGATTATTATCGAGGCTAGTATTTTAGATAATATATTTGTTAAACTAATCCCTCTGTGGTTGTCACAGAATGATTTTGACCCTTTCTTATACATTGGGACGATAAGTGATTGCGACCAGTCAGATGGGATAACGTCTAATTCGCAGATCTTAGCTAATATATTAGTCAGCCTAATCGTTAAAATTGGACCACCATCTTTATAGACCTCTGGAGCCAATCCATCAGAACCACCTGCCCTTCCTCGTTTCAGATTAATCATAGCCTTTTGAACTTCAGCAAGAGTTGGGTGACATACTTCAATGTTCCATTCACATTGTCTGGGAATGGACGGTTATTGTAGAGTAGCTGAAGGCCAGTTGAACTGTTTTCTAAAATGTTCCGCCCATCGTTCTAAACGTCTGGACTGTGAGCAGATGAGGGTGTCGTCTTTTTCCAAAATAGTCTGTAGAGCTGTCTTGTGTTCCCTATAGCTGTCGATTTTTCCATCTCTTTTGCTTTCGTTGCCCACCACTGCTCACCGTCGTTCCTGAGACTTTTGCCTAACCTAGATCTGATTTGCTTTCGCTCTTCGTCATGTTCAGAGCCTGATGGGGTGAGTTTGCGAGAATCCATCAGTGTGATAAACTTTGAAGAAATCCACTGGTTCTTTGTAACTCTGTGGTTTAAGTCACTAATAGATTTCATTGCTGTTTCCACAGCTGTTTGTATATCTTTCCAAGCAACATCTGTGTCAACCTCGTTTTCAGAACAACCTAATTGTGACCTCAGTTGGTTCTGGAAACTACGTTTTGTTTTCTCATTACTCGACTTAGTTCTGACGAGTCTTTTCAGTGTGGCTTTTTGCGTCCAGTGAGGCGCAAGCAAATGCGTGCCCGTATTGGAGCATGGTCGGAGTCCAAGCGGGTACCGACCCTCTCCAACGATGACTGATGGCAACATGATCTACTTGAGTCCATCGTTCGTTTGGTGTAGGGGTCGCCATGTTAGACGATGTCTCTCCTTATGCTTAAAATTTGTGTTTGCTGGAAATAAACGATTGTCTGAGCATATTTGCAGCAGACGATCACCATTATCTGTTGGCTGTGTCGGAATACTAAAATACCCATCTAAATGCCTTTCTGTTTGGTTTAGACTACCTATCTGGGCATTAAAGTCACCTGCTACGAGTACTATGTCTGAGCGTTTAACTTTCTGAAGAAGTTCGGACAGCTTTCTGTAAAATTCATCTTTCACTTCATCTGAGCTGCAGTCAGTGGGAGCGTAGGCAGAAACGACAAAAAGGCAACGACGTGTGTCCCTATCCTTCCGAGTTCTTACGGAGCCGTTTAGCCGAACAGCATATAAACGACTGTTGACGGGGACCCACTGTAACAGTGCTTGTTCGGCCCTCATGCTTAGTGCTATGCCTACTCCTGCCAGTCCACGAGAACTGGACATCGGGTCACCAGATACACGGAGATTGTATCTCGTTGGCTCTCCGTTTTGCTGAGGTGAGGTCAAGTGAATAACCAGACTGGGATCCTGTATGCGTGTTTCGGAGACACAGCACACATCAATGGTACGAGATTCTAGGGTTTTAACCAAGGAAACCTGTTGACCGATTTGACATAGGGTGCGTACGTTGAAGGCTCCAATGTGTAGATTGAAGCAAGGTTTCAGTAGACCTGGGACAGTGTTTTGAGCACTAGAATCGTTGTCCATGGTGAAACTTGAAAAGGAAGTCAAAAGAGGTAGTTTAGTGTTGAAAGTCGATGTAGTAGGAATAATAGAAATTGTAGAGGGAGGTTGATTATGAATATAGTGGTCTTGAGTGCTGTTAGAGGTATGAGTGCGGTTATCACTTCCCGGTTGCCCACACCGTGGAAGGGTTCTTCTGGAGGTACCTGAAAAGGAAATCGGATTAGAAGTGGTCTTAGTGACCAGGGAGCGTGATCGCAGTGCCCAATGGACAACTGCTTGAGGTCGGTCACACACGACCTTTTTATGGGTAATTTTCGTGGTAGCTCCGTACGTATTGAGACCTTACCGCCGGAGACGGATATCCGTGAGATAAGGCGAGGTGTGCATTTTTAGGGTCGACCTTTTCTTACCCTACCCCTACTTGTAGGAAGGCAGCATCGCTGTCATGCTGGTTGTCTGAAGGAAACACCTTACTGCTGTCACACCTCTGTACAGTCAGCAGTACGACTTCGTTTTCGGACCTTGGGTTTGTTGCTTTTAGTCTTACCGCTCTTCAACCAACCTGTGTGACGTGGTAGGACCATGAGGAACGGTTGTTCCAGCCAGTATAGCTCGGTTGATTCATCACGATAGGCAAGCCCGACCACCACGTCAATGTAGCAACAACAAAGGAAAAAAACTGTTGAAACAAAAAATCTGAAAAACTGTACAACTTTTCTAATTAAAGGCGTATTAGGAATTCAGGTTATTAACTAGGTTAACTCTAACAACTTGTTCGTCACAGAGTATATTTGCTAGATAAGGTATTATAGAACTTTTATACTTTTCCTTACGTGCATGGATTTTACTGTAATTACCTCTTGTTCTATCAGAAGAAATACGAGGAGAAAGGTGAGAGTGAAGGGGAAGTTTAGTATCTGATAAGATAACACCTGCCGGGAGTTTGCATGACTTTAGATACTTAACCACAACCATATTAATTATGACCTCGAAAGATTCAGCACACACCTTGCTAACTGCCTTCAGCACTCTTCGCAATACAGCAAAGTCTTTTCTCAAAAGCTCGGGAAATTTTTTATTATTAAATAAATGGTAGTTATTATATAATTAGTTTCAATGACTTTACTCTTGTAACATGATTTCTGTCTATTCGTTAATTAATAACATCGTTTTAGAAATCGCCTGTGTTATTGTTCATAGTAACCATTACCTCATAGTATATATCGCTTCAAGTGTCTAATGACAATTCATATTCTAGTATAAATTGTATGTTATGAAGTTCCATAAAGCAATTTAATTTTGTTGTTTATAATGATACATTTCTACATATTTAAAAATGTTTGATAGATTCAATTAACTGAATTGTAAATATTTCGTTTTCATTAGTCGTTGGATTAACTTTAAACAATAGGTCCATTTATAACGTATAAAGGTTTTAGTGATATAAATAGTGCAAGAACGGATAGTTTCATTATGTGATTGTTTAAAAATGAATTAGTGTTTTCTAAATTTATGGTTTAGTAGTTATAAATTACGTTTATGAGAATGGAAAAGAGGAGCGGATTTACGTAAAGAAATTTCATTTAAAACATTCATTTTTATACTGGATGGGGTGGAATAGTGTGAAGTCCTGAAATGGTTAAGCTCTCACGCGCGAGACTGATAGGTCCTGTGTTCGAATTTCACTGCGCGGGATCGTAGATGAGCAGTCATGAAGAGTCTCATACTAAAGCGAAACTGCCATACAGTGATTCTAGGTTTTCCATGGTAATCTAGCTTTAATTGAATCAAGACTTACTTACTTACGCCTGTTACTTCTCGTGGAAGAGCATAGGTTACCTACCAGCACTCTCCATCCAACCCTGTCCTGAGCAATCCTTTTCAGCTCTTCCCACTCGTTATTCATCTTTTTCATATCTGATTCTATTTTCCGACGTAATGTGTTCCTCAGCCTTCCTCCTATTCGCTTCCCTTCAGGAGTTCAAGTTAGCGCTTGCCTCGTGATTCAGTTTGGCGATTTCCGTAATGTATGTCTCATCCATTTCCATAATCTTTTCTTAATTTTCTCTTCATCTGGAATCTGGTTTGTTCTCTCTTACGGAAGACTGTTGCTGATGGTATCTGGCCTATGGATATTGAGTATCTTGTGTACACAGTTATTTATAAATACTTGTACCTTCTTGATGATGGTTGTAATAGTTCTCTACATTTCAGCTCCATACAGTAAAACTGTCTTGACGTTCGAATTAAAGATTCCGACTTTGACATTGGTTATCAATTGACTCAAGAAACTAACTATTAAATTATTATAATATCCACAAAAAAACCTGTTCTGATAATACAAAATTTATAAACAATTTCACTGTAAAACTAATTATATGAAATATCTAACCAAATGAAACATATTTCTAGAACCATGATTTATTTATTCAAAAGTACAAAAAAAAGATCATTATATTTGCCTATAACAGATGCTTTGGCATACCTCTGAACTGAGGTAAACTCAAAAATTTCGGATTTAATTAACTCAATAAAATATTCATATGATATCAATTCTTAAGATAACTGACTCTTTGGGGTCTTAAGGAGACATTTACAATATGTATGCCTAAAAAATACATATATATCATTTATGAATATAAACATAATACTGGTGACAATGGAGGGGCTATCTTAAACAGTTTAATCAGTTATGTAAACTGTTATTTCAGTAGGTGATAAGTAATTTATTTTTGATAACTTATTTTCGTATAACTATTGTTAATAGTAGTACCAGTAATTTTATAACGACTGTGACAATACTAGAAATTACGTTAAAAAAAAAAACAACCTTTGATAAACTCAACTAGGATGATATAGGTAAAATATTTCTCAAATAACACTTTACATAACTTGTCCTTATAAGGATTTCTTATTCTTTTATTATAATGTACATTACAAAATTCTCTACTATTGAGTAGTTTACAAATATCATTATTTTTATTTCATAAAATTAATTTATACATACCCTGTACGTTTTATTTTTTGTTAAGATCTATACATAAATGGAATCATTGTAAGTCAATTTAAAATTGGCTATCAATATATGTATAAATGGAGAATTATCCATCAAATGTATAATTCCTATGAACTCACTAATGAAACTATTAGAAATCATAAAATAAATGTTCAAAGTTATATTATAGAAGGATTAGCGAAGATTATCATTGGACCACATTGTGATATGCGATTATCTGTAAGTGATTGTATACATTTTTTGTTTAAATGCATCATTTGCATTTTGTAAGTTGTGATGGTCAGTATTCAATATAATTCTAAAACTTTGTAATGCAGTTCTTCCTGATAACCGTCACTAGATAACACCCCGACAGTGTATTCATCAGAAGGTGATTATGAAGTGTTGATTGGATTTATTATTGCATCAAGCACAGATTATCAATATTACACGTACGCTAAGCAAGTATGAAAGAGTAGTGCTGAAAAGTAATCAGATAGGCGAGTGAGCGTGCGAGTCGAATGAGCGAGTAAGTGAACAGGATTAAGCTATACATATATATACATAATGAAATGAATTAATCATTGAATCAATTAAGCGATGAATAGTAAAGCTAGCAGAATGAATATGTGCGTAGACAGTAAGTAAGCTATGCTCAAGCATACTTATTCATACAAGTACAACAATAATAAACGTACAATGATGTAGATAAGTTGTTAGTGTACGAATAACTCTATCCATTAAATAAATTAACAAAAGGGATTAACCGCATTAAATGTGTATAAACTCAACTGCATATGAGCTGCTATAAATTGTTTCGAATTTTCAACGCTTTAATGAATAGATTAGTTTATCGACACAATTAAATGAATCTGATCAGTAGAAATAATTAGCTCTAATAAGTAGTAATAATGCTATTTATACTTCAGAAAAAAATGATAATATTTTAAATGACATAAATAATCTCTAAGAAATTTTTAGTTGTTTTCAAAGTTTCTTTTGTTATGATTATTTAACCCAAAATATATGTGATTTACATTATTCAATCTTATTGAAATTTCTTTCGATTTGAGTTGATGAATTAAAATTACTGGTTAGTGGAATGACATGGAATGTTTATAATATTTCTCTAATAGTTGAAATTAGATGTATCAACCACTTGGTTACCACGTCAACGATTAAGATAATCATTACATTTGGAATAAAGAGCAATTTTGATCCACTGCAATTATTACTTGAATAAATGTCAATGAAATTTATTTCTATTTAAGTTTAGGCCTTTATAAAATACTATTCAGATAAAGCACCTTCAGATTAATGAGTCTCTTCTTATTGATTCGTTTGTTTAACCGTATGTCACTTAATTTCTTCTATACTACTCCTTTTAAAGACGTTTTGTTTTTGTTTCATACTATGTTTATGTTTCAATTGATGGCTTCCTACAGTGACATTACGAAAAGTTTTATTTTAAAATATTGGAAGTTATTATAACTTCTTAAAGGAATAGTGTTTTACTCCAGAAGTGACCATTATTTTAGGCAATTGTTCAAGTCGTATACATATATATGTATGTGAAAAAATACATATTCGTATACCTAAAGTATATTTATTAAAAACTGTCAATAAAAATCTCGTTTCAAATTTATATATTAATATTTAACGTAAGATAGAAATTTACTGAAACAATGATATACACAAATCTACTTAGTATTGTTTACTTGAAACTTCCTATTGTTGTTCAAGACTGCAGTTGATCAATCTCTTATTGGCATATGTGCATACTATGCATATTTCCTCGATATTGTCTTAATTTAAAAGCATTATCTACAAAGATCGATGGTAAGCAATACTAAATGAATTTAAACTTCATCCTGATTGCACAGTCAAGTGGATATCAGGACTCAGTAGTTAAGTGAATAACGTGATGGCGTTGAACGGCACTGTGTTCGAGTCCTAGAGTGAACATGAACTCTGAGATGTAGGTACATTGAGCTGACATTTCCCAAATAGGACGAAACGCGCTTCCTAAATTTAACTTCTAGCCATTATTCAATTTTACTTATATTAATATAAACAGTTTTTCAGCACTGACCTTCTAGTAAAATGATAAGTTTTGAAATGGACAGTTATTTCATCTTTTGACGTTATTTAATATGTGCTTATTCATTTTATTCTATTAATGATAATAATCACTTATTTTATATACATCATTATAAATCGGTTTGTTCAGCTTCAGCAAGTAGAGGAACCTGGAGAAATTCAAACAACTGAAAATTTAACTTATCATGAAAAATATCCAATAAAATTTTGTCTCAGTAATGGCAAACTTTTATCATTTGAATATTTATGGGACGATGAAATATCGTCTGTTAGAATAAAAAAAGCTTTATTACTTCAATTGCAAATGTCTTCACAAACATATGGACAACAATTTTATACTGTTGAAGTAAGTATAGTCTATATAATAGACATAAAAGAATTGTTAAACATCTTATTGCATTTACTTCATTTGGTTACAGAGGTCAATATAGAAGATATTAGATCAGAAAACACAAATAGTTTAAGTTGGCAATTCACTTAGAGTTGTCATAATGTAATTTTGATTGTTCGAACTGAATATAATGAATGAACTTAAGTTAAAATATATGTACATCAAAAATCTTAGAAATACTGATATATTTTAAGGAATTATAGTAAAATAAATTTTGAATAATATTTGAATCCCACTAAAACTAAACTATGCAAATAAATATGTTGACTAGTTAGTAACATTTGTCGGTTTGAAGAGAGAAAAAGATTTTCATTATGAATGTACATATATATATTCATTAAATACTCATTATATTTGACTGTAGTTTGTTTCTTAATTTGTAAATATACATGAAAACAACCGCAATATTATCAATATATTTCGTGATGTAATAGTAATACTAGTGTGAATTGTGTAGGGAATACAAATAAAAGCGAAGTTAAGTTTGATGGAATGATGATAATTGTATTAGAAATGACAATGGTATACGCAATGGTCGTGTGGTGAGTGCTACTAATATCGACAAATAAAGGTAGTATGTATCATCAATCGAAAGTGGAAAGCTAAACGGTAGAAGATTGAGAAAGTCGAAGAGAAGAGAACAAACAAAGGAAGTGATTGGTAAGGAAACGAAGGAACAATAACGTCTGAGACAACGGATGGATATTTTGTGAATAAAGTATTTACTGTATGGTTTTCAGATTTTACCAAGATATTCTGAAATATATTCAGATGCACTTGGTTGTCCCCATTTGTGTCCTCGTTCGCTACAGCAATAGCATTTATGAAAGCAATAAATATTATGTGGTCAAATGAAAACACAATTCAAACATTCAAAGATAATTGTAAAGTTTTTTAACAGTAAAGATTAACATGTATGGATTTGTAAAATAATTACAAAATCCCTTAATTTAGATATAAGATAATGATAGGATAACTTAATAAAGAATACAACAATTAGAGTTGTTGGCTTAAATCCGTTATCATGTTTGACAAGCGAGAGACAAGATCAAACGTTTTTAAAGTATGTCTGGTAAACATGATAAGTGGATATAAATTGTTTAGCTTTTTGAAATTCATATCCACTGTTGGTAATACTAAGCTCTTCTTTATTTATATTTGATTATATTGCCTACATCATGATTTGCTAATCATCAAAATACAGTGTTTTATTTGTCTAATACTGTTGATATGCATATCTATAAATACAAATATTTAGTACAGGAAGAGCAGGTTCAAAACAAAACGATAAATTCGCTTGGTATTATTTACTTGAATCTTCCTATTGTTGTTTAAGACTGCAATTGATCAATCTCTTCTTATTGGCTTACGTGCATACTATGCGTATTGCCTCGATATAGCCTTAATTCACAAGCATTGCATACAAAGGTTGATAGTGGCTAGCAGTGCGATCCACTGTAAAGCGAGTTTTGTATTGGCATCTCATAGTTGGTGTTAAATCCAGGAATCGAACCCAGTGCCGTTCATTTCAAATGACATCGTATTATTTACTTATCTACCGAATCCTTATTGCCAATAGTTTTCTGATATGAATACAATTAGATTTTAGTAATTTTATAGTTGAATTCATGATTCAATTGAAATTAAACCGTCATGGAAAACCTGCGATCACTGGATGTTCGTTTAGTCCCACTGTGAAACTCCACAGCAGTGCACATCCACGATCCCGCTCCACCAGATTCGAACACAGTGCCTATTAGTTTTGCGTACAAACGCTCCACCTCTAGACAAGTGAGCTGGCCTGCATCTAGCGGTGTTAATGTTTAACTTCAACTAATACACGAAATTGAGTCAGTTAGTTACTACCTCACAATAAACCCAGTCGAACTCCACTATTTACTGCTTTCCACTAGAACTACACAAAAAAACAGTTAAATTTGTTTACTTCAAGGGTTTTCACTTGAAAATGTATTGTGAAAAGACACTTAGGTGGGAAGGCCAATTAATTGTTTAATGCACAATCACGCAGTGGTTTAGTAAGACTGTGAACATCATACGTCAAATATATCGTTGGCAAATGGTTTTTTCGAATTATCTCTTACAAAAATGATTGTTCTTTCACTCCTGTTGTTATCTTTGATTGCTTTAAGTTCCTTTCTCTCGTCTCTTCATTTCAATCTTTTCAAACTTCTAATCGCAGTCATTCCACTTCTAACTATTGTTGCATACTACTTATATCTACAAATCTAAGTAGCATGCACCACATGTTCGATAATCGTTTACTCAAAGAGACACAGTGGTTTGAATAGAAAAGTGTATAATTTACTGTTTATAGTCTAGCAAAAGTTTTATCAAGATTACATCGAAACAGAAGTTGAATTGTATCATTGCTATACGAAATACAATGAATTCAATTCAGTTTTAATAATATCTTGTTTTTACATTATTTTAATCTATAAATAAATCTATTTCATGGAAATGTAATATCCCGGAATCATAAAGAAACACAACCTGGTTACGTCTTTTAAGATCAGTTGTATTTACTTATTTCGTATTGATTGTTTAAATCTTTCCATTGATATTTAAAACTGTATTTGATCAGTCTCTTATCGAGATATGTGCATCCTATGCAGATTGCCTCGATATTGCCTTAATTCACAAGCATTATAAGCAACGATGGATGGTGGCTAGCAGTGGAATCTAGGACACATATCTCGTCAGTTGGATGTACCTGCACAAGCTGATGACGATCTGGACTCTATAGCTAAGTGTATAACACGATGTCGTTTGCAAAGAACGGTACTGGGTTTGAGTCTCAGAGTGAACAGTAAACCTGGGATGCAAACACATCCAGCCGACGAGTCCCAAACAGGATGGAAGGTGTTGTGGTGGTTCCCAACAAAAGGAGCTTATACATGATATATCGATACAGTAGGTTAATAATAATATACCAAGAGAGTTAACAGTAAAAACCCTAGGTGTAAAACCAAGGGTAACAAAATACAGTTAGGATACAAATGGTATATTAAACAAACAGCTAATAACAGTTTTAATGGAATGAATGTTACTTGTAAGCTGCCTCGTGAGATAACAACCACAAATTGAGTTCACTTGATTGACGAAGATTCCGCTTCAAGTGATTGCACCAACGGCGCAATGAGAAAGACAGAGTCCAATAGTATTATATAATAATAATCCGTGCCAAAAGTCCAACGTAGAGTCGAAAGGCCTAAAGCGATGTTATAACACAATTATATTCTTCAATCAAAGCCGTGGCCAACAAAGCAGAAGAACAAACGGCGTAGATAGCGTTTTATATTTTAACCAACGCGGTAGTAAATTCGTATATTAATCATCGAAATAATTATCATCGTTTTTTTAACAAGTGATACAGAAATACAACAGATATTGAATAAAAATGCGATTACATATAAAGTGTGACAAATTAGAGAGAAATGTGGTTTTTATTTTGTTGTTACAAAAATCACTGAATATACGTCAGCATAATGTGTCCTAGGTTCCATTATTAGCCACCATCCATCTCGTTGATCGTTTCTACCAAGTAACTAATACAATTAATTATTACTCATTATATAGTTGAGATCATGAGTCAATTGAAGCTATACCACCATGGAAAACCTGGAAGCACTGGACGGTCGTTTCGTCCCATTGTGAGACTCCTCAGCAGTAAGCCTCCACGACTCAACCAGGTCAGTTGTGAGATAGTAACTCACGGATGACAATGTGGATATGTAGCCCGAGTTCGTGAATTAGTTGGGATTAATCATTCACACCGTTGGATGCGAGGTCAGTGGTTTAGTGGTTAGTCGCTCACTACTAAACTAATAGGTCCTAGGTTCGAATACCGCAAGGTGTTGTAGTGGATACGAACTTCTGAGGAATCCTACAATAGGACGAGATGGCCATCTAGTGCTTCCAGGATTTTCATGATTGTCTACCTTCAATCGACTCATAATTTCAGTTTTTGAAATTACTAAGATCTCCACAAAACCCCTACTGATACTCATTATATGCATAAAAAGAGAAATATAATTCTTAAGCTTGAATTCATTTTTATTGTAACCCCAGTAACATTTTAAATTACATAGAATGTTATAATTTATCACTAATATTAATTACTCGTAACATTTGTCACTTTTTTTTTCATATTCCAACTTATTTTCATTGATCATTAACGAATATGGATAAATTTCATGACATTTATTTATATAATAAAATTTTAGTTCATTTCTTCCGGCAATTAAATAAACGACAAATGTTAAGTAAATTGTTGTATACATTGTCAATTGAATTTATTATTTAAACTATAAATTGTATTATATTTGATCAAATATTCTCATTTAAATTGAATATATATAAATATTATTTGTTTAGAATGTAACTATGATGGTAATAGAGATAATCATTTAATATTAAATGTAGAATACAATGATAAGATTGATTAATTTGAAATTGTTCCATGTTATGCATTTAAAGAAGTTGACAATAAATGTTTATTTTTAAAACTTAAAATTCAAAAATAATCATCCTACATTAAGATCAACAGTTTGGATAAATATGTATTCGTAAAACATTATTCAATTTTATAACAGAAAACCCAACAACAGATTTATAGGTTAATAGCATCTGATCTGCAGTAAGAAGGACTTGAGACACATGATATTTATCTTCACCATGTGATCAATCAATTGTGATCACATTTCAGTCGTACAGGAGGTCGATCGCGGCCCGGATAGCTCAGTGATAACGTCTCTGACTGTGAAGCCTGGTGATACGGGTTCGAACCGGTCAGAGAGCACTAGTTCCCTCAAGATTACAGTTACACCTTGTTGACGAATGTCAAGTAGCACGAAACCCAGGTCCGGGGTTTCCTGTCGACTACCTCCAACCACAATCTAATCTCAACATAGTGCACGCAGTGTCGTCACTTAGAC